ACTGGGAGTGCACTGGGATGGACTGGGAGTGCACCTGGATGGACTGGGAGTGCACTGGGATGGACTGGGAGTGCACCTGGATGGACTGGGAGTGCACCTGGATGGACTGGGATGGACCGGGAGTGCACTGGAATGAACTGGAGTGCACTGGGATGGACTGGGAGTGCACTGGGATGAACTGGGATGAACTGGGAGTGCACTGGGAAGGGCTGGGATGGATCAGGAGCTCACTTGGATGGACTGGAATGAACTGGGAGCACACTAAGATGGACTAGGATTAACTGGGGGCGCACTGGGATGCACTGGGATGAACTGGGATGAACTGGGAGTGCACCTGGATGGACTGGGAATGCACCTGGATGGACTGGGAGTGCACTGGAATGAACTGGAGTGCACTGGGATGGACTGGGAGTGCACTGGAATGAACTGGAGTGCACTGGGATGGACTGGGAGTGCACTGGAATGAACTGGAGTGCACTGGGATGGACTGGGAGTGCACTGGAATGAACTGGAGTGCACTGGGATGGACTGGGAGGGCACTGGGATGAACTGGGATGGGCTGGGAGTGCACCAGGATAGACTGGAACAAAGAACAATGAACTGGGGGCGCACTGGGATGCACTGGGATGAACTGGGATGGGCTGGGAGTGCACCAGGATAGACTGGAACAAAGAACAATGAACTGGGGGTGCACTGGGATGCACTGGGATGAACTGGGATGGACTGGGAGCGCACCAGGATGGACTGGAACAAAGGAGGATGAACTGGGAGTGCACTGGGACGAACTGGGATGAACTGGGAGCACACTAAGATGGACTAGGATTAACTGGGGGTGCACTGGGATGCACTGGGATGAACTGGGATGAACTGGAACAAAGACCAATGAACTGGTGGTGCGCTGGGATGAACTGGGAGCGCACCAGGATGAACTGGAATGCACGAGCACAAACTGGGGGCGCACCAGGACCGACTGGGGGGCACTGGGATGAACTGGGGGGGCACAAAGAGCTCGAGCACGAGGTTATCGAGGACACGTCGTGACATCCCGAGGACACCGAGGAGACGTCGTGACACCCCCTGGGACTCCCCCGGGATTTTGGGGAGGGGGACACGAGGCCACCCCACCCCCAGCGGGCAATAAAGGCGACACTTGGTGGCACAGAGGGGGTCGTGGGGGGGTCCTGGTGTGAGGACAGCAGATCAGGGGGTCCTGGAGGGTCCTGGGGGGTCCTGGAGGGTCCTGGGGGGGTCCTGGAGGGTCCTGGGGGGTCCCGGGGGGGTCCTGGGGGGTCCTGGAGGGTCCTGGGGGGTCCTGGAGGGTCCCAGGGGGGTCCTGGAGGGTCCTGGAGGGTCCTGGGGGGTCCCAGGGGGGTCCCAGGACCCGGCCGCGGCCCTGCTGAGTCAGCAGGTCGATATTTTGGGACCTCAGCAGGGGTGAGGAGAGCTCGGACCCCCGACTCCCCTCTCCCCAGTCCAAACCAGTCCCTCCCAGTGCCCCCCAAACCTCTCCCAGTGCTCCCCAGTTCCCGCCAGTTCTCCCACCCACCCTGGGAGGACCCACCGCGTCCTCCACCGCCAGGGGGCGCTGCCGCTCACCCCACCGGAAGCGGCGGCGTAGCACGGCCGGAAGTTACCATAGAGTCAGGCGGGGCCGCGCGGCGGAAGTGACGTAACAAACAGGAAGGGGCGGGACGGAGCGGAACCGGGAGCGGGTTTGGGTCCCGCTGCTCGGCCCGGTTCGGTCTCCGCTCCCGCAGCGATGCGGGCCGAGCTGCGGGGCCTGGCCGGGCCCGTGCCGCTGCCCGACGGGCAGCCCGTGCTGCTGGGCCGCGGGCCGCTCACCGGCGTCACCGACCGCAAGTGCTCCCGGCAGCAGGGTGGGTGAGGGGAGCCCTCCCGGGGTACCGAGAGCCGCCGGGACCCTCCCGGAACCTCCCCAGGACCCCCCCGTGCCCTCGGCTGTGGGACACCGGCAACCCCGCTCACCCCCGGGTGATGGAAACTGCCCCAAAATTCCCCCCCAGGACCCCCAAATATCCCCCCAGAAATGCCCCAAATTCCCCCCCAGAATCTCCCCCAAAATCCCCCTCAGACCCTCCCCAAATTCCTCCTCAGAATCTCCCCAAAATTCCCCCTCAGGACCCCAAAATATCCCCCCAGAGCCTCCCCGAAATTCCCCCCCAGGACCCCCAAAATATCCCCCCAGAATCTCCCCCAAAATTCCCCTCAGGACCCCAAAATTCCCCTCAGGACCCCCAAATTCCCCCTCAGACCCTCCCCAAATTCCCCCCAGGACCCCCAACCCCCCCCCGCAGGGTCTGGGGTCCCCTTGGTGGGTTCCCCCTCCCCTCCCCGATTTTTGGGGGGCTCCGGGGGTCCCCAAATGTGACCCCTCCCCACAGTGGAGATCGTGGCCGACTACGCCGAGGGCACGGCGCGGGTCACGCAGGTCTGGGGGGGTTTGGGGGGTCCTGGGGGGGTTTTGGGGGGGCTTAAAGGGGGCTTGGGGGGTCCTGAGGGGGTTTGGGGGGGTCCCATTGATGTGAGGAGGGGTCTCAGACCGATTTTGGGGGGTCCTGAGGGGGTTTGGGTGGGGTCCTGGGGTGATTTTGGGGGTCCCATTGATGTGAGGAGGGGTCTCAGACCGATTTGGGGGGTCCTGAGGGGTTTGGGGGGGTCCCATGGAGGTGAGGAGGGGTCTCAGACCGATTTTGGGGGGTCCTGAGGGGGTTTGGGTGGGGTCCTGGGGTGATTTTGGGGGTCCCATTGATGTGAGGAGGGGTCTCAGACCGATTTTGAGGGGTCCTGAGGGGGTTTGGGGGGGATCCTGGGGTGATCTGGGGGGTCCTGAGGGGGTTTGGGGGGGGGTCCCTGAAGATCATTTTGGGGGAGTGGGGGCTCCATCGATGTGAGGAGGGGTCTCAGACCGATTTTGGGGGGTCCTGAGGGGATTTTGGGGGGTCCCTGAGGATCATTTCGGGGGGTGCTGGCTCCCCCTGCCCCCCCCCAGCACGAAGCGAACCCCGTTTTTTTTCGGGGGGGGGGGGGGGGGGTTTATGAGACCCCGGGGCTCTTTTTTTTGGGGAGGGGTCTTTTAACCCTTTCCTCCCCAGCGCGGGGTGAACCCCAGCTCGGTGGGGGGGTCGGTGCTGGGCCGGGGGGGCTGCGGGACCCTCGGCCCCGGGCAGACGCTGCTGCTGGTGAACGGGAGGTACCCCCTGGTGCTGCACTTCGAGGGGTCCCCCCTCCCCAAAAAACGCCCGGCCAGCCCCCCCCGGGAGCCCCCCCCGGCCCGCAGAGCCCCCCCCGGCCCCCCCCGGGGGGGGTGGCAGAAGCGGGGACCCCTCCTCATCTTCACCCCCGCGGGGCTCCGGCCCAGCACCAAGGTACGGGGGGGTTTGGGGAGGGGTCCCGTGCCCCCCTTTCCTTACTTGGGGGGGTTTGGGGAGGGGTCCTGTGCCCCCCTTTCCATCTTGGGGGGGGTCCCGTGCCCCCCTCCCAGCTTTGGGGGGTTTGGGGAGGGGTCCCGTGCCCCTCTTTCCTTACTTTGGGGGGTTTGGGGAGGGGTCCCGTGCCCCTCTTTCCAATTTGGGGAGGGGTCCCGTGCCCCCCTTTCCATCTTGGGGGGTTTGGGGGTGGTCCCGTGCCCCCTCCCAGCTTTGGGGGGGTTTGGGGAGGGGTCCCGTGCCCCCCTTTCCAGGTTGGGGGTGGAATTGGGGAGGGGTCCTGTGCCCCCCTTTCCACCTCGGGGACTCCCCAGGGGTACCCCCAGACCACCCCCAGAACCCCTCAAATCCCCTCTGGACCCCCCCCATCCTCCAAGGACCCCCCAAATCCCACCCCAAATCCCCCCCAGGACCCCCAAATCCCACCCCAAATCCCCCCCAGGACCCCCAAATCCCACCCCAAATCCCCCCC